GCAGGTGACAACTTAAGTGACTGTTTGGCCAGGGCATGCTGCCAGGGAGGTCATCCCTGCACCAGCACAATCAGATCAGATAACCAGCCCCAGATTCCCATTTTCGTGGGTCTGTTTCCTGGGACCAAGTACATGTGTTTCCACATTCAACCAGGAAAGCAGAAACTTCTTTAGGTAGTTCAAACAGAGAGGGATTTAATGCCGAGAATTCAAGGGTGTGGAAGAGCTGCAGGAGCACGAGGGAGCCGGTGCTGAGGTGCTGCTCAGAGATCAGGAGGCTGCTACTATTCCTGGCTGGGGGCCGGGCCCACACTCCCCGCAGACGCCCCCCACCCAGTGCGGATGACTCACTGTGGCCGCCCCCTCAAAGGCAGCTTCACGAAGGTGACCATGGCTATCTGCGTCACCAAGAATGAATAGGAGTAGGCTGGCAAAGGTCAGGGGAGGCGTAGAGATGGGGCATTTGGGGCCAAGGGAAAATGGCCAATAAATGCATGGTGGTGGGTGGAAAATGCTTAGCAAAATAGTCAACTCATTGTCAAGGGCACTGTACTGAGCTGCCTGTGGAAACTGACCACACATGGTGCTCCTAGGAAGGCCAGTTACACTTGAATTCTCCAGGGCCACCACCGTTTTCATGCACTCCTCGTGGCCCCCCCCCCCCCCCCACCCCGAGTCCCCACCTGCTGCCAATGCCTTCACACAACCGTAAAACGATGTCTCCTCCTCCATCCACAACTGCACTCTCTCACCTGGGTCTCCCACTGGCAGAATCTAACCAGAAGCCAGCTAGCGGAAAATTCTGGGAAGTGTAGATACCCGCCTCCCAGCACCCCGGGTACAGATACAGCAGGGAACAAGGAAGGCAGCAGAAGCAATGGGCACACCTGAGACGTCGTGAGGGTAAGTGGGCTGATGGATAGGAGCACCAACCACAGGATGATCTGCTAACTCATTGTGTTTTTTCTAGTGCAGGGAAGCTCTGACGATCATAGATTCCTTCATTCTCCCACTGTCTTAGGTTTGAAGCTTGTTTCTTTTTTTCTGAATGCTAAGCATTTCCCCCCTTTTCTGCAGGTTTGTCTTTGCCGCACTCCTTCCTTCTCAAAATGATTAATGACAGGGTGCCCTGGCAGTTCCGCAACCTGAGCTTCTCACACTCCTTGTCTCCTTGAATTCTTCTGGCTCTTTTCTGAGCCTTCCTCTTCTGTGCTCTTTCCTAAACTTAACCCATCCTGCTCTCAAACATGCCAGAAGAGAATGACAAACCTGATCAAAAAGCAGTAACCTGCTAGAGAAGCAAAGCATCTAGAGACTGAAAAACGTCAGCTTGCTTCTCGTGTGGACCCAAGGACCCTCTTGCACAGCTAGCTTATGGAGGAAAGGCACTCCTTTGCTTTGGAGCTGAATCCTGGAGGCTGAAGCAGCACCTTCTATCTCTGCTCTGCACAGGGCATGGTGCCATTCAGTCATCCCTCGGCAAGCGGGATGAGCTTTTACGTTAGATCCACACCCTTGCTTCAAGCCTCTTGCGGCTTTCCATTGCTCTCAGAACAAAAGCCAAGCTTCTCAGCGGCCTGCCCGAGCGGGTGGCGCCTAGCTTGCTCATCACATCTCCACTGCTCTCTGCCTCACTCACTAAGCTCCAGCCACACGGGCCATTTTATTCCTCAGATTTGCCAAGGCGTCTTCCTTCTCAGGTGTTTTCCCACAGGCTCTTCTGTTCAGAGTGCTCATCTTATCCCAGCCCTTCTGCATGTCCCCCAGATCTGACCTTAAATCTCACTTTTCAGAGAGGCTGTCTTATCACTCTCACACTGGTCTGTTTCCTCATAGCACTTACCACAGGAGGTGTTATTTTTCTTGTCTCGCTTGTACTTGAAACTACGCTCCGTGACAGCAAGGACCATAACTGTCTTGCTCGCTGCCTGTACCTTTCCTTTGTGCCTAGAAGTGCCTGACACGTACTGGGTGCTACTGGACCAAGACCTCAGGTCACAACGGTGAAGATGACACTGTCCTTGCGTTCTCGGCCTTCACCTTCTAGTGACAAAGCACACAGCAGGTGCTAAGATGACTGGGTCATCATGGCTAAAGGTAGATGGGAAAACTTTTCTGGCACTACAAACGTCAGCAATCTGGGTCATCTGGGCTCTCTGGCCTTCGCTCCTCTCCTCAGGAAGACTGAAGAGCAGTGATTTTCAGAACCCACTAAACTTGCAGAAACACGCTCTGCAAGTATGCATTTTATATTTTGTAATCATTACCTAAGTGATGGACAAAATGGAAATCAGAAACGTTAAACAAGATCTATTTTTAATTTTCCAGATATGAACTTTTTTTTTTTTTTTTTTTTTTTTTTTTTTGGGGTTTTTTAATTAATTAATTTATTTATTTTTGCTGTGTTGGGTCTTCGTTTCTG